CCAGCCCAGGGTGGGGGACTGGCTGGCTCAGGGGGGCAGGGAATGGGACACGGAGCGGGGAGCAGTGGGGAGAGGGAGAGCCATGCCGCAGAGAGCCTGGCACACATGGTGGCACCCTGGGGTGCCCTACAGAGGGGTGGAGTTCTCTGACATCTGGGGCTGCCCCAGACCCCTCCCAAGGCCCCCCTCCAAGCCATGCCGCAGCAGAGGGGTCCTACCCACCCAGCCAGAGGCCCTGGGACTCACAGCGAGGGACGCAGGGCCCTGGCATCTCCTCCCGCAGGCTTTCCAGGGTGCCCATCCTGCTGGGGGCCGGGCGGCGCGGCCCGTCCTGCGGCCTCCGGGCCGTCTTGGCCCGGCTGATCTTCTCGCTGTACATCCGCGCCAGGGCTTGCACCTTGCTGAGGATCCGCTCCGAGTTCTCCAGCAGGCAAGGGGCAGTGTCCTCGTACAGCCCTGGCAGGGGGGCGTAGCCGGCAGGCGGGACACCATCGGCACGAGGGACCCCGTCGCCACGGGGCAGCCGGGGCGGGGCAGCCAGATCCGATTCCTCCACAATCCACAGGGGCTCCAGGAACGGTGGGGGCTCGCGGGCGGCCGCCGGCCCTTTGCTGCCCTGCTTCATGCGGGGGGTGCGGGCTCCCAGGGCGTCCGCCGCCCCCCGCTCTTTCTCCCGCCAGGCCCGCCGGATCTCCGCGCACGACTTGTACTCGGGCTCCTGGCTGGCAGGGGGCCGGGCAACATGGCTGGCAGGCTGGCCCCGCCCCTTCCCAGCATCCTCTTGGTTGGCGCCAGCTTCGGTGCCTTGGTCGATGAGCTGGCCCCGCCCCTTCCCAGCATCCTCTTGGTTGGTGCCATGGATGTCTGGGTTGATAGGCTGGCCCTGTCCCTTCCCAGCATCCTCTTGGGCCTCTTGGTTGGCGCCAAATTGAGTGCCTTGATCCAAGGCCGGGCCCTCTCCCTTCCCAGAATCCTCTTGGTTGGCGTCATGAGGGGTGGTGTTTTGGTCAAGAAACTGGCCCCACCTCCTCCTAGCATCCTCCTGGCGGGCAGGGCGGGCCTTGGCCCAAGAAGCCCCGCCCCCCTCGCGGTCCGTGGCACCCTCCTGCTGGGGGAGGTGGTTGAGGTGGAGCACAGAGTCCCGCATCACGCCGGCGGGGGCGGAGAGGGCGCCCTCCCGAGCGGGGGGGTCTGGGGCAGCCTCGCCCGCCTCGTAGTAGCACTTGATCTTCTCGATCAGCAGCCGGTCATCTCGGGTCAGCGGCGAGTCCCGCGCTGACCCATCCCCGTATGGGGGGCAGGCCCCATCGGTGGAGCCGAGCTCCCCGCTGGACGCTTCCTGCCCTGCACGCAGGGTGTTATCCCCTGCCAGGACCTCTGGCTTGCCGGCGGCCTCCTCTGCACCCAGGTCTTCTAGGACACAAAGAGGGGAAGGGCCCCGCTCCTGCTTTTGCTCCTCTGATTCGCTGCGGGGGGGACGGCGCGGCGGGAGGGGTTGCGTCATGCTGAGGCTGCCACGGCGGGGCTCGTCTCGCCCGGCGGCGTCTCCCTCCTGAACCTCGCTTCCCTCGGCTCGTTCTCCCAGCACGGCTCGGCTCAGAGGCGGATCCTGGGGGATCAAAACAGACAAAGCAGAGTCAGAGCCAGGTTGGGGGAGACAGTTCCCAGCAAAGGATTGTTCCAGCAGAAAACGGTGATCCGTCGAAACCGGACCCCAGCTGGCGGGAAACGGACGCATTTCTCGCCTCGAAAACACCTCGGGAAAAAAGTTTCTACATTTTTTAAATGAAAAATTCCAGTTTTCCGGTTCAAACCATATAATAAAACACAGAAATAATAAAAAAATTAAGTAACGCGGCAGCAGGTGGGTGAATCCTTCATTTCGCTCTTTGTTCCCGTGTTACAAAGTGTTACCCGGGGCGGGCAGGGCTTGAAAGTCACCCCAAAATGTGTTACGTCATTTATGGAGAGCCCCGAGTTAAAAAATAAGGATCAAAAGTGAAATGAAATGACCAGAAGAGAAACGAATTTCCGACTGGTGAAAATCTTTGAGATTTTGATTTTACGTCCCGATTCGGGAAGGGAAAATGTTTCGATCGCTTGACCGTGATCCTAGGATGAGCAAAGTTTCCCGTCCAGGTCTAGCTTAACAGATCCTGGCGGTTTCACTTAATAATCACACAGCTCCTGGAATCATGCGCTTTCGGGGGAATCTCGGCTTTGATTCAAAGACCAAAAGCAAATTGCTAGCCCTCCTGGTTGCACAGAAAAGGGTGAAAATGTGACCTCAAAGCAGCAGAAAGAACCCTTGAATCTCACGATTTCTCAGGCAAAAATCGCAGGATTTCGCAGCCAAATCTCAGGCTGGGCGGAAGGCTGATGTGCCGGGGTAGAATTTTCACAAGCCCCAACGCAGTTTCGGATCCCAAGTCCCATTTAAGGGACCGGGGAAGAATCAGACTCCGAAGGGCCCAGTCGCTTTTGAAAATGGGACTTTTGTTCTTAAGTCAGGTGCTTTTGAAAATGTTACCAGTAGGCACCCAGAAGTCTGAGTCTCAGGCCCTGCTCTAACCACTAGACCGCACTTCCCTCCCAGAGACAGAACCCAGGAGTCCTGGCTCCCAGACCCACTGCTCTGA